AGTGGCGACAACATCCACAGAAAACTTCCAGAGCAGATTCTGTTCGGATTCCAACTAGAGTTTCAATTCTACCAGTATGTGAGTAGGGAGAGGGAGCATCGCAGCGTGAAAGTGAGTGGCAATTAGACTAATTCTGGAATTTCCATGGAAGTTGTCGTCACTCCGCACTTAATGGATGAACTCCGTATATCTAAAACTAAGTTAATATCATGAGTGCAAAATATCGTGAGAAGAGATAGAAATGACCATATTCAAAAGATTTGTCGTTTTTTGGGGGAGAAAAACTAGTCAGAAATATAGTATTTGAAAATTTTATTCATTCCCTAGCGAGGCTCAAAACCTCATTCTATACCTTCTCAGTACTGATTAGGGAATCTATAGAATCGCTCATTCTGTACTTTCTCCACAACATATGTATCTAGACAGGAAAAGGGTTTATAAACGTTGTAAATTATGTGATCAATCAATATTTTTGTAAAAATAAAATGACAAGACAAAAATTTAAATATAATCGACATACTCTCCATTCGTTGTTTTGAATTTGGTAATCTGTATACATAATTTAATTGTGTTTTTCCATAATGATATTGTTCATTATTAATTAAAAATAATTTTTTCTTTTTTAATAATAACAATAGTCTGTCATAGGCAATAATTGCAATCACATATTTTCGAAAACGAAGAATTGGTGTTCTACAGACTAAGTTAGACGATTTGATAATAAATTGTTTTATTTGGTGATAATTTAAATAAAATTGTTTCAATATATTTATTTGTTGAATTAAAAGTGTATAACGTTGTTTTAATGGATAAATGAGACCAACAAGAAATGTGGATAATATTTTCAATTGTTTTATCTCACCATCTTTTTCATTGATAACAGACTGAGATTTATCATAAATACGTTTCTTTTCCAAATTTTCCGTTTCTAATAATTGATTACGATGAAGCGTTTCAAGAGATTTAAGTTCAATATTCTAGAAACAAAGATAGAATACAAACTGATTTCAGTTTCAACAGATAAATTTGACAAAATATACTTTTAAATTTGTTTGTAGTTCTTGAATGGTCATTTCATATTGTCTAATTATCATTTCTTTTTGTTTACTAAATTTTTCATCTCGTTCATTGATATCTGTTTTAAATTTCAATATTTGTTCTTCCATTGTCTGCTGTATTCGATTATACTCTGTTTCTCGTGTATTTAATTGCTGTTCTAACTGTTGAGTAGAATTCATAAGAGAATCATATCGACTGAGAATAATTGTCAATCCATCATTGATTACTGAACAAATATCACTATTTTGATGTAACGTTAATCGTTGAGAATCGATGTTATTCTTATCATCTGACGATGAACGAATTGCTATTTGTAAACGATCATCAATCGATTTCAAGAGAGACAAATTCAGCTAAACGAAAAACTTTTATAGTTAAGTAAGCAGAGTTAGATTGTGCATAATGTTCGTCAAGAGTATTCATAATTCAACAATCATACTAGCTCTTTACTTGAAACGTTTTATTCCGTTATAGTTTGCATAGACGACTGATTACTATAGAAATAGTCTCTAATGAAAAATTCTATATATTCCAGAGACGACTGACTATGAATACGATCCCTTTTTAGTTACATTTTCAATAAAATTGGTTTTAATAAAAATTAATTAGTTCAACTTGAAATTCTCAGGATTGATGCAAAGTTTTCGTTTTTATCTGTTTTGTAGCGGTGGACAGAAGTTTAGGCGACTTTGTTTCTCATCGATTTCTCTTTAAACATGGTAGAAAGATCAAAGAC